CAAATTTCGGAAAGATATCTTCTCAAATGACAAAGTTTCCTATACTAGGAGTTGATTTTGGTCGATCAGTTTGTATGTCAGCGGTTCTGACAAATGAGCAGCTTCTTGAGAAGAAAAATGGAAAAATTTAGATATGTTGGTATCTCAAAAACTTAAGGAATAGTATGTTTATGTACAGACAGACAGAGAGACGGACAGGTAGACGGACGTAGCTAAAGCGACTCAAATCGGCACGCTGATCATTTATATATATACTTTATGGGGTAAGTAAACATCGGATAAGTTTAGCAAAAATTTCAGTTTTCGATAAATCCAACTTTACAGTGCATACAGTGTTACAGTATTATGCAGCTCCGTTTTTTTAAGCAGTCAATCCAAACTCCACCAGAGCGAACTTTCATCAAGTGTATGACACACCAATTTCGACGATATTGATTCAAGCTGGGAAAACCCGAATTATTTCGAGATAAGTAGTTGAAAATGAATTCTATTATATATTACGGACAAACATTTTCTTTCACCAAACTGAAATTAAAACATCTTGGATGTCATACTTTCAGTGAACTGATCGAATATGTTTGGATTGATATTGGCATCAAAAGCGTAGTGATAATCTCAAAACGATTTGTTGGTTTATCGCATCACAAATGAGCAGTGTTTCAACTATTTCCAAGTATATTCCAGTAATCTCCGTTGTGAGATCATCCCCAAAACCTTACCTTATTATGCCAAGATCCCTGACCAACTTAATTTAGCATTTTCGGAATATTAGCGACTACAACCGAACATATTTTAAAACTATATATTGTATATGAAAAACATCAATATGATGAGAGAAGTTCCAGGACTCCGCCCACCATCGACGAAACTTAGTGCCCAGTGCCTTCTAACCCTTGAATTATTATACTTGACACCATATTGGCAAGTCCGTGATGGAGAAAGAGATGTGATTGCAATGCAAGGCACAATTATACTTATGGCTGCAGAGGGTATGTGGGCGTTAGTTTCAAAAAATTAGCATAGAAATAGACATAAACACTCAAGCCTATTTTACCTCAGCTACAATAATTATTGCTGTATCCACAGGTATTGAAATTGTCAGTTGACTAGCTATAGGTACACAATTAAATTATTCTCCAGCTATGTTGTGAACAAAAATTGTTGTTAGATCATACGTACATGCACGCCATTAATAGTAATATAACATTGTCTTAAAAATTGTTTAATAGTCGTTCTCTGCCTTTTCTATATTCCAACTAAGTAATATAGTGACAGTGTTGCTTATTCGGCCTCAGTCTTTGTGGGGCCTAATTGTACTGGCTATTACGTTACAGTGCTGACACATGGTCTTAAAGAAAACTTTGCCCTGTATTATGACGAATTCTCAAGTTCAACCAATCATTTAAATTTTCACATATGATTAATTTTGTCAATTTTCAGAAAAACTGTTTTTTTGAGAAAAATTGAAACAAAATCATCAATAATTCCTAAATATTTTCTCAAACTAAAAAACTAATTAATATTATATTTTGCCACTATGCACATAAGTAAGTGAAATACCATATATTTGTATGTATATTACCAAGGTAACACAATAAAAATGTCATGGTATCCTGCCACCTATTTGCTTTGGGGAAATCAACAAATATCAGCCTAACAACGCAGCAGTTGAAGATAGCAAAGCGCTAAATAACTTAGACAACAAAGCACAGTAGAATTCACAAGAAATTGTAGTGCTGAAAATTTTGCAGCCAAAAACCCACAAATTTTACAACAAAAGCTTGTTGAACTGAAAAATATAAATATTTAATAAAATGGGCAAGAAAAGTAAAGCGAATAAATTGGCAAAAATGTCGGAGGAGGAGCGGGCGCGTTATATGCAAATGCGTGCCGATATAGAAGAGGAGGCGCGACGCCGCAAAGTACAGCTCATATCGCTCTTCATGAAGGTGCGTCCCGAAAATTGTATGAAAATCTGAAAATTTCCAATACAATAAATAATCCCTTTTGAATGCTTTCTTGCTATTATTTGTGCTGTAGAATAAACTCAAGAAGGAGGAGGCCTTCGGTCGCCTGAATATGGCGAAAATCAATCAGGAATGGCGTTCCATCTTGCGTCAGGTGAAAGTGCAGGAGCTGCGCAAAGATATGGTAGAATTGCAGAAATTCTTTCAAGAGCGTCTAGATCGTAAAGATGGTGTCATAAAGCGTTTACTCAACGATATCGATATAGCTGAGGATATGTACTCGACGCTGCAGCAGTCACATATGGAAAATGTTAACAAGATGATTGGTAGGAATAGTGCATAGATAAAATAAAATAATAAGCGTATATAAAGACTCCCTTATGTACCCCAAAACTTTATAGCTTTACTTTCACTGGCATACGATTTCTTGAATTATAAATCAATCATTGAATAATAAATTTTCCCAACCATGTCTTAAAGGCATCCAACAACAACGTATGCAGTTCTTCAAAGATACTTATGAACAAAATAAAACTGCTGTTCTTGAAGAATACAGTCAAGATTTTGCCGAGTTTCAAGAAAAACGTCTTAAAGCTTTGGATGAATTGGAATGTGTTAAATATCAACTGGAAGATGATAGTGAAAAGCGCGCAATGGAAAGAGAGGAGAGACATTTGCAGCAATTGGACGACTTGAAGAGTGAGGTAAGAAAGACACTTATATATTCTTAAAATGTATCTCCTTCTATAAAGCGAAGTATTTACTATCTTTAATTAAGAATGTCGTTTTGATCAAGATGGCAGTTTTCCAGCTATTCTCATGTTTTACTTCCTTTGAATGATTTTTTAGAGTAATAATTATGTTCATGATGAGTTTAAAAACTTATCATTATTATTAAGCAATTCTACGTAAAAGTAGAAAAAACCTTTATAAGCTTAAAGCTCTCATTGTAAACTCTGAATATATCGCACATTGAGAGCACTGACTACTTGATATCACTTATATTGTTGTATGAATGTGAAAATTTAAATATTGCTTCATAAATAAACCGATTGTGCAAACTCGTAACTTTTTATAGGAAGTGGGCAAAATTTCATAAATTCCGTCAGAGCTTTCATATTTTCGGCCCAAATGACTTTTTAGTTCACTTCAGCTTAGTTTTAAGCTGAGGAAGATCCGCAGATCGCCCGCAGAAACTACAACTGTCAATTTCAAATCTACGAATATTCTTGCTCTAATCGTCGTCTAACATTTTAATAAAAAATTGTATTGATTCGTAAAATCGTGAGAACATTACTTCTTTTATAAGGCACCCTATGTATGTTAATAACAATTTCCTCATCTCCTTCCATCCCTCAACTTCGAAAAAGAGGGGCAGAGGGAACTTTAGTTTTAACGAAGTACTTATGTCAAAATAATCTGATGAGGTGCACGAAAATTAGCTTAAATATTTCGACGACAACAGGCACAGTTTTGGGTAAACAATAAAAGCAGCTTCATTAACATTTAAGGAACTAAATCAGTGATTTTCGGCTTTCACGCTTAACAGTTAAGAGTTCGTGGAGCCCTCTATGATTGATTTAGGCATATTCTATAGAATTTCGAGAACTTTTTAGCGAGGCATGAAATTTTAGAAGAGAAAAATAGTTATCGAAATGAGTTTGCTAAATTCTTTTTATAGCTTTGCTGATTCTAAAACAAGCTTACAGACATTAACCACATCTAAACATTTCATCATCTTAACATAATTCAATTGAAAACCACATTGAACTCCTGCCAATCGTCACAATTCACTTTAGCATATTCGGTCATGCAATTGATGAGATCACGTGAGTAGTGGCATTTGTCCCGTTTACGCTGTGTTTCCAAATAGTGGAAGCAATCCTGTATGGTGTCGGTATAGAAGTTGCGCAGCTCACGATCACGTAGATCACGTGTTAGACCATACTGCACCTTATAGCGATCCGGATAGTCGTCGGTGTTGAGCTTTAAGAATGAAAAACACCAACAAAAATTGAGATCACTGCCTTTCTAGCATAACTTCTTGATCCACCTACCATATTCAACTCTTCAAAGAAGCAATGCACTACGCAAGCAACATCGGCTGTGTCATTTTTTCCATTTCTGTTGTTATTATTGTTATTATTATTGGAATTATTTTGATTGAAACCGCGTTGACTGTTGCCACTGCCGCCATTGCCACCCGAATTGCGACCACCAGTGTTAGCGCCACCATTACCATTACGATTTCCACCATCGCCATTGCCGCCGCTGCCACCTCTATTACCGTTGCCATCATTATTATCGTAGCGGCCGCCATTATTATTTGAGGAGGTTGAAGAAGCCGATCTATTGTTATCCGATCGGTTATTTTGCTGTCGATCACGATTGCGTTGTTGCAATACATTACGATCGCGATCGGAATTACCATTATTGTTGTTATAATTGTTATTATTGTAGTTGTTGTTATTTGGATTATTAGCATTGCCATAATATTGATCAGCATTATCGTCGTAATCATAATTATAATCATAACGTGAATTGCCGCCATGCTGTGGCCCAAAATTCGATTGATGTAACGGTCCGTAAGGATGATTATGATTGTTGTTGGAACTCATTGATCCTCCACCAATCGGATGCACATTCTCACCGATCTTACGCATACAATTGCGCGTAATGCGTTTTAACTCCGATTCGGATGGTCCATCGTCGGTGCGGCACTTCAGCGCATAGCACATAGAACAGTATAGAAAAAGCGCCGTAATCCAGAGATGAACCGACGATAAGCTAACAAGCGATCGCGTCGACATGATCGCGCAACATGTTGCCTGAAGTCACACGTAGGCAACTATTTAAAGCACTTTGAGCGCGCATTATATAAAATATGTGCTCAATTTGAGATGATGCTCGTCAATCAAAGTGGCACGCGATCGCCTCAGTGTCGGCCATAAACGATAACTGCGCAGTATTCACAATTGATTTGCTGTCAGAAACTCTTGGCTGTCAAACAGATAGGTCATAACTAAATTATGACAATAAAACAAAAAAAATTGCTTACCATACACTATGTATTCTTCTCCACTACCTCCCTTCAACTCTCACTTTCCCGCAGATGCAACTCTATATTGAAAATATCACTAAAAGTGGCGAGGAGAAACTCGAACGTCTGTGGCAGGAATATCAAGATGTGCTCGCCGGTTATATGCGCCACACCGAGAGTTTCTATTCTGAGTATATGGATCTAAAGGAACGTGATCAGGAGAGCGCTAATATAATACGCGATCATTATCATCAAATAGAACGTGCCAGCGATCAGTTAGCTCATCTCAAGCTAGTCTATGCCGACAGCTTGGAGAACAATGAGGTTAAGGTGATATATTTTGTGAAGCTCAGGGATGATCTGCAGCAACGCTTGTCAGAGTCGAAAGCAAATTTTGAGTCTGAATTGAAAACCGATGAGCAGCGTTTCAAACTAATGAGCGTCGTGAGCTACAATGTGCTAAAGGTGAGGGGAAGGAAATTTTGTCTTCATGATTTTGGGCTTCAAAATTAAATCTGTCTGATTGCAGCACTTGAAAGGCATCGCAGCTGAAGGTGAAACTCTTCTACAACTGGCATTAGTTTGTCGCAAAAATGAGACAGAGCGAGAACAGTTGTTGCCTTTCGGCTTGCCACCGCTTCCCAAGCCGATGTTTGAGGAGACGCAAACTCAGGAGGAAGTAGAAGAGATAAAGGTTACGGAGCAGCCATCCAAGTTAGAGGAAGTGAGTTTGTTATTACTGTTCTTTTTATTTATTCTATACATAATTACATCTTTAAATATTGCTTTAAGCTTCATATATTTAAAAAATTGTCGAAGATACGGTAAACATAACTTGTATACGAAAATCTAGGCGAATAGTACACAGATCAATTTACTTGTAGTTTTTTCTTTACTTCCAGGATAGATAACTTGGTAGTGATTTGGTAACTCCGAATTGAGTTCAGCCAAGTCCATAGTTCTGTAGATTTTGTTTCTTCATTCTATAAGCTTGTAGTCATCCCAAACATCGGGTGAAAGCGAAATGTTTACCTGCTATTCCTTCTTCTTAGAGATGGAAAATTTTTACATATAATATAACTTCGTTCCCATGAATGGGAAAGCATTCCTCGAGCACATCGAACCGCTAAAACAAAATGGCCTTACAGAAACTTTAATTTTTGAAGAACTGATCCAGAGTCCGTTTTTTTTTTTTTAGTGAAGAACATTCGAACATTATGTAAATTCTGTAGATCGTTCCATTAGTACTCTTATACATTTGCTTTGCAAGTCATTTGGTGGACTGGCTCGGTCTTCAGTAAAGATTAAATATAATATATTATGTCTGATTGGATAAACAAAAGCTCTCTACTTTCTAGCAAGTTTAATATAGTTATTTCAAGTAGATCAACTTTTCCAAAAAGCACGAAGGTAACTCAAGAGCTAAGCTATGAATTTATCGCGAAGTAAGGTATAGCCTTTATTTAGTGTTGGTTTTGCTAACATTTTCATGTATACACATGTATTTTATTATGTGGTACATCGAGTATCAGAGACTCTTTTTTAGCCAAAAGCTCTTGCCATTTGAAGGAACGTCGGAAATTGAAAGAAGCCAAAAAGTCTTCCCCAACACGCCCTCACTTTAATCTATTTTTTTTGATGTTCGGTAGGAGGTATATCCAGTCTATATAAAAATAGCAAATATTTCTCTCATTAAACCTAAACTCTTATCTTTCCTCTCAAATTTCTATCATTGCATCACACGAGTAGTACGCCTATGCCAATTGGATGTTGATGGAGAACTTTTGGCGTCGTGTCAACAACGCACGTGTCGATGTGGTCTGCATGAAGCAACAAAAGAAGAAACTGGAAAACGAAAACGCCCAACTAAAAGCACAACTGCAGGAGCTATTGATCAATTTGAACTTATGCAACGGTTCCAATCTACATGTCAACGACTATCTCGCCAAGCGACCGAGCAGCATGCGTGTGGATCGTGTGCAACAGCAGCATCTAACCAAAGATCGACGACAAACGAAGTGTTACAGCGCAGCCGAAGCGCGTCGCACTTCAACAACCCCGTGTCACGCCAACAATAAAAGCTTTCGGCGTCCCTTCACCGCTTGCATCGAGGCGAACTTCACCAGCACCGTGCGTACGGCGCGTTTGCTGCGCGGTAAGCCGAAACTGGCGAAAATTGAATCGTTTGTGCGGTTTTAATTATTTTATGATTTCTTTTTATTGCCCGCTCGCCTGACATATCATTAATTATGGCCGCGCAAGTGGATAATTAATTTTGCCACAGTTAAATAAGTTAACATTTACAAGTAATTTATGGTAAAGTTTAAATTGTCATAAATTATTGTGTGACAGCGTGTATAATATTAATAAAAAAAAACACACTAAAAATAATAATATTCAATCAAAAAGTTGTTATCCTTTTATATATCCGCTCGATGAGATACAGCTGAATGTGAGCTGTCATAAATTTGGTGGCGATGATTTATTGAAATTGCGAAAATTTTGCATGGAACGTGAGAAATTTGCTGTACACATGTGCGCGTGTGTGTGTGTTGCGTATAGCGGGAGCAAAAACGGCGGAAAACGTGGTATTACCATATTTTTGGTTGATATTTCGCTGTGCCTTTTATTATTGTGAATTAGAATTCTAAAATTTATTTCGTAGTTGTTGCAAGTGTGTGAGAAAAAGAGATAAAGAGAGAATTTGCTGTATTGTACTTAATACCGAATGTGAATAAATGTATATCTATGTCTATCGCTATATGTACACTCATCATATATGTACGTACATATGTCTAGCAAGCCATGACTATGCATTGACAACATTATCCTGTGTCAGACTGCTGAAATGTTGCTCATACGCTATGTCAAACAATATTTTAAAACAAAAACTACCGACAACAAATCAATTTTTGGCGCGGCAACAACAATAAAAATATGCGCGCTGATAGCACCAACTGGCGAACAGACTTATATTCGATTTACCACCATAATGAC